TAAATTATTTTTGCAGGGCCCAACAACGCATAGGATCCAATACGACGTGTTCGGTCACAGAATTTAACACAAAATTGTGTGTGCTATATTTCAAATCGTTTTTCCAAAGCAATGTGAGCATTGAAGTGAATAGGATGATATCAATAAGAATATCAGGTTTTCAGTTTAGTACAGATATTCGAGTGAAGATTTCTCACTGAGAAATTTTTTAAAAATTTGTGTAACTTTTAACTTTTTTTTTTCTTTATGGTGGACATACTACTGGGGTAGAATTAGCAAAAATTGCAGGAGAAGTCACAACATACACGTTGTTACATCATGCAAAACTACAATGCGTTGATATATAAATTATAAACATACAATAAATTGTTATATTTTACTAAATAACATATCACGCAACGCATAACTTTTAAGGCGCGAAGCGCCTCGGGGGGTTGGACCGCACCCCTTACTTTTTACTATAGATATAAACCAACCCAAGTGACGTTTAGAAGTAATTCTAGGACGAGAATCTCATTGTGCGAAGCGCTTGATTAGGGAAATTCATTTGCCGAATATTTTAAGATTATCAGTTCATCTCAGCTTCCTTGCCACAAATAAAAGAACAGTTATAATTGTTCTCCACGAAAGAATTGTGGCTTTACACACGGAACAGATGAGTTTTGAGTGAAAAAAGTGCCAATTAACATCTCCCTCTCTCTCTCCCTCTCTCGAACAATGAGACGGAATCAGAGAAAATGAGCTACACCAGTGTTGCTAAGTAATAATTTGGAGAGGGTCATTTTTTTAATGCGTGGTCTGAATAAGCAACAAAAGTAAAATTAATAAGCATTGAATGAAAATCCGTCATGCATGGGCATCTAGCTATGATATGAATTTAAGCCTAAGCAACATGCTTTTTCTTCAAAATTTCACGAGGAAAACGAACCACACATCAGGAGGTCCGTGAATTAGCTCTTTAACTAGATGTATGTGTTAAAATTGAACTAATTAAACTATTAATTATTTTACTGTCCTGACGAATGCACTTTTATCGCCCAAAAACCCAAAGCTACCTCAGAGATTCAAGACTGACATCCCCTTTAACTTGAGATTTCGATAGTTTTGAGGCCATAAATCAAATCATCGCTTTATACCAAAGGGGGTTGGCTGTAACTCATGAGTTTTGACTCTTAACTACTGCCAAAATTCCAAGATGACGATGATTTGAATTTTTTAAATTTTTTAAGTTTTTTAGGAAAATCTTGAATATCTATCGCGGCCCGCGACTTGCAAGTTGCGGTTGCACGCGCATTACGCAGTCAATTAAAAATCGCTTAAAATTACATACCTAGAAAATGAAATTTCGCTTACTAGCAAAATATAATTTTTTAAAACTTCATTTCGTGAAATTTCATTCGCATCTTTAGAAACTACGATAAATACGGCCCTTTTCCTTTCCAAAGCGTTAACGTACAATTTGGCAACGCTGTTGGTGACGGACCCGCGGCTCACGAGCACGACACCGAATCGCAGGAGCTTCGCCTAACTTGACCCCGGTGCCCAATTACGCTTTGGCCTCTTGCTTTTACTCGCTCCTCGGCTTCAGAGGCCGTATTTTCAGCCGCGTATTCCCCCGACCTGCCTTCAGAAAATGCCTCCGGAGCAACTTTTTTTCGGCACGCCCCCTTCCCTCTCCCCCCGTTTCGCGGCCTTTCGCGGCCATGGCCCGAGATGCGCAACTTGGGAGCCTGTCGGTCACTTGGAAACTTCGACCCCTACTTGTGAAACGGCAGTTTCCACAGATGTGTATTCCCTCTTGCCGCGTGCGCTTTGCATTTCGTCAGGATGCCCTCCAGTTGCGATTCTGGCCCTCCGGACCTGTGGTGGACGCAACAGGTTGTCGGAGTCAACAAAAACCATCGAGCAAGTTGGAAACATTGCTTTCCCTACATTTAAGCCCTGCACAGACGATCAAATTCCGAACCAATTTCGATCAAAGTAGACATGCTGATGACTGGTGGTCACCATCTACCATCAAATTTTGACGGACCGCACTTTTTGTTCAAAGTAAGATCAGAACGGAGTGTCACCATTCATCATTTCCTGCCTCAGGAAACATTTCTGCCAAGTTTTCATTTTAAAATGAAGCAAATTATTGAGTTTAAGACTGATGACTCCCGACTTTTTGATGCTACTTTGATCGGAATTGGTTCGGGAATTTGATCGTCTATCGAGGCCTTTTAGCCTGTGAAAATGAATCGATTCATGGAGGAGCCATCAGGTACCCCAACAAGAATCGATTGTTCTACACAGGTTTAAATGGAGGAAAGACGGTGATACCAACTTGCTAGATCCAGCTCCGAGGCTGAGGCATTCTGTTGTGTTAACGAAGAGAGCAGATAGTGCAAAAACATGCATTTTTGAGATATAATAATGAAGTTCGAAGTTCCCGAGTGGAACATTTTATCGATCGAACCCTCTGTTCTTTGTGAAATTGTCAATATTCACCCGAAAGTGTCCAGATGATTAAAAATCAACGAATTTCATCTCTGACTCAAAGACAGGGCTTTTTTATTTTGTGTTAGGCAAGACAGCAGCACGTGCTACGTTCTGCATGCTCATGGGTAGTTACGTTTTGGATGGATAAAAACACATTTTATGTTTAGAAATTGGCAGGAAAGGGCTCCAATCACCAACGATAGCCGTAACCACCGTTCTCCAGGGTGTTCCGTTTTCAGACAACCATCTCAAAACCTTGCTCCCCGGGCGTTTTCCCATTCCTTTTGGTCCTCAAAAAATAACTCTGAAGTTTCAGCACCATAGCTGAAGTCTACACTTTCCCCCAAAGCGATGACAATTTTGGAAGCAATTACATTGGTTTAAATGGGGAGCAAAGAGGCCGATTCGCGGAACCAGGTTTTTCGGCTAAAAATGCGCCGAGATGATTTCAAACCTGACCATCTCTTAGGAAGTCATCCAGAGGCCTATTTTGAGCGAGAAAATTCCACTTTTGACGCAGAGATGGGGGTAGGTGGATCACGGCGCAGTTAGTTTCGAGGCGCTGCGCGCAGCAAAATGATCGCATTTGACAGTTTTTGATCTACCTCAAAACAGGTCCTCCGAAGCTGAGGAGTGAGGAGGCTAATGTGTTTCCTCGGAAAATTCAATAATGTAACAATTCGGAAAAATCAAACGCTCAATTTTACAGAGCCTGCTCTGGTGTTATCCTAGTGGTGCTAAATACATTTCCTATACTTCATTTATTTTTTGTGACTTAGACATTCGTAGTAAAGGTTGCCGCTATAGAGAACAAGTCACGCACGCTGTCTCCTTAAATTACGTTTCATTATTGAGCTTGAAACTTTCATTTTCTCAAAAATGCCTAGGAGCCGTTCTTTGAGCATAGGGATAAGAGACAATTGATATAAGTGAAAACTTACGCTGATTCCATTCCTGTCCGCTTCGGTTCCTATAAAATCTTTAAAAGCTTATTATTAAAGCTACTCAGCATCAACATCTTATTTGAATCAGTGAGTTCGAAAACACAGCAACTCGGAAAAAAAATTGTTCAGGTAACACCTAAAACTGCGCAGCGGGTGAAGAAGTTAGTTTAAGAAAAACCTCTTTGGTGCCAAAGGACAAGTACTTACAGACTTTGTAAAGCACCAAGTCGCAATCGATACACCATGTTCGATGACAGAGAATTAACCGTTTAAAAATTTCCGAGTTGGTGTGTTTTCGTTCTCACCGACTTTCAGATACCTACTGATTTTTCATATTCTGCCCTGCAAAATTTATATTTTTCGACCTGAATTAACGCTTGAATATTTATATAACTTGTTGGTATACGGTATACTGAACCGAAAAAAGAACCGTAAAATCGGATGGTCTCCCGTTTCCCATGGAATGGCCAAAAATTGGTATTTCCAATGAAATACTTCGATTCTTCCCATTTCCCGTCGCTGTTTCGAGCACTTCCGATTGCAATTTCAAAATTTCCTTTTGCGTGCAGATTCTATCCATAAGTGTTACTAAACCGTAAAAAAGTGAAAATCGAAAAAAACCCGAGTTGGTGTATTTTCGAACTCACTGATCTATTTAGCATTGTCACCTTTCACGACGGGAATTATTTTTTGAGGTACTCAGAAATAATTTAAACAGGAACCGAACCAGTCAAATATTGAAATCAAACGTATTCTCGCGGCACAAATAACTTTTTTTAAGTTCCGCTTTTCAGTAATCTTAACAATCAAACTTAATAGAATGTCAGGCGTGTTTTTTTTAATACTTGTTATGAAACCCGGAGGAACCACAGATCCTATCCCTTAAAGTTCCTGAACCCTCCCATCCGCGTAGCTCCATTTAGACATAACTTAGGGACGATACAATTATTACAAAGCACTTATGTTAATAGTGCCCCAATTTCAACTATTAATTCGATTTCTGGCAATATTTTCACAAAATTACATTGCTTGCTGAGAAGAGATGTAATGGTGGATGAACATAAAAATTTTCGCGACGCAAAGCTTATTTTTTTTATATGAGAGACAGAGGGGAAGAATTAGTGTATCTTGGCAAATGCACAACGTTGCAAACTGATCAGGTACTTTTGGTTAGGATCAGTTTCGGCAACAATACGATAGTATATTGATACATGAAAGGAAAAAAAAGCAGTTTAATCCTCGCGGAATTTCTAATTGGTTTATTATCTAACCAGTGGATAAATGAAATCTTGAAACATCGAAAAAATGTAACATTTATTTTGTTTCTAAAAATTTGATCAAATTATTCCTCTGTATTATGATGCTAACTTTTTTTTTCGATTTCTTTTTTTAAAAAAAGATGATTTCTGAAATTTTGAAAATTTGAGGGAAACATCTGAGACTCTATATAATTCGAAAAATACGACATACACTTATTTGTCTCCCGGAATCCAAGGCTCTGACTTAATTCATACCATAGATTGATCAGTTTTAAAGGCAAAATAACTTAAAGCCCAGTGTGCGTAAATTACTTACCATATGTGAGACTATTTTGACTTTTAGTCGGGTCATGTTTACAGGTAAAAAGGTAATTCCTTGGACGATGAAGTGGGTCGAGCAGAGTAGAGGAAGTTTGGCAGTGAAAAAGTATCCTTGCGAGGAACAGACCGAAAACTAGATAATATAGAGGAGTTTAACTAAGACACGACGGAGAGCACAGTTCACTGGGGACTCGTCTACTTGTGGCATGTCGAGCGTCGCGGCATGGTGCAGCGTGGCTGGACCGACGAAAACTGACGGTCCACTGGAATTATCCGCGGTATCCTAGGCCCGAACCATCACTGTAGGTCATCCGAAAACCGATCATAAAAAGGGCGCAATATCGGGGGAGCACAATCACCGGGCCCACGGCCAACGCCACGGAGAAAAAGTGGGATCAACGATTTTTTCGCGAGGAGGGGGCCAGTGGCCCGNGGGGGGGGGGGGGGGGGGGGAGGTCCGCGCCGGCCTCGAGGACCGCTTCGGAGTTCTTGCGCGCGGAGACGTACCCAGCTCCTGGGGGGAGGTGACCCCCAGGTTTCCACCGGCCTTTAGCTACCAAAATCAGTCCTTAACCACTTAACCGTGAACTCAGTCTTGGGCCTTTCTGACCTGAGCCTTTGTATTCTGAATCGGATGAAAAAGACGAAAGTGGAAGAAGAAGAAGAAGAAGAGGAAGAAGAAGAGGAAGAAGAAGAAGAAGAAGAAGAAGAGGAAGAAGGGAAGAAGAGGAAGAAGGAAAGAAGAGAAAGAAGGAAAGAAGAGAAAGAAGGAAAGAAGAGAAAGAGGGATATGAGAGGAAGAAGGAAATAAGAGGAAGAAGGAAAGAAGGGGAAGAAGGAAGGAAGAGGAAGAAGAAAAGAAGAGGAAGAAGAAAAGAGGAAGAAGAAGGAAAGAAGAGGACGAAGGAAGGAAGAGGAAAAAAATAACTAATGGAAGAGGAAATTCTCTCTTTTCCTCGCCCTCTTCTCCTTTTCATTCCTCTGCTACCTCGTCTGTTTCTTCTTTTTTTCCTCTTCCCTCTTTTTTTATCTTCTTTTCATTTTTTCATTCTTTATCTTTTTCTTCATCTTCTTTATCTTCTTAATTCTTGTTCCTCCTCCTCATCTTTGTGCTCGTATTCTTTTTCCTCCTCTCCGTAGTAATCTTCCTCTTCCCGGTCTTCTTTCCTTTTCCTTTTCCTTCCTCATCGTTCTCTCCTTCATCCTCCTCCTCCTATTAGTTTTCTCATCTTTCTTCACCTTCTTCTTTTCCTGATTTTTTCTCTTCTTTTTAATCGTCCTCATCTTCTTCTTTTAATTTTTCATCCTCACCTTTCTCTTCTTTAACTCCCTCTTCTCAATCTTCCTCTCAATATTCTTCGCTTCGTCCTCCTACTCCTTCTGCTTCTTTATCACCTCTTCTACCTCTTCCTCTCAGGTTAGGTAAGATAAGTCAGAGCCCGTTTCAGATAACTTGTCCTTTTTGGCTATGTGCGCGGAGTACGAATTTTGAACTCCGCGTATGAAACAAAAAAGAGACAAGTTATCTGAAACGTGCTCTACGTCTTTACAGAGGGAAATGAGAATTTCTTTCTTGAGCACAGAAATTTCGTAGGTAAAACAACGAAACATAATTTCAGCTTGACTTGCACATTTTTCAAACCAAACTGAATTTCACTAATTCACTCACTAATTCCTCCATATGGAGCGTATCTTTATCATGCCAAAATGTTTCATCGTGTCACGCCATAGCGATGACAAACTTTACTCCTAATTCTCAAGAGAATAACGGATGAGGGAGGTCAGGTTCGCGCTGTCTTCCTCAGCGAGATCCAAGCTAACTTTCTAAATTAAAAGATAGCTTTTCCTCCACGTCAAACCCCTATACATACTCCGTATATAGTGCAAGAAAGGGAGACAGAGAATCAGAAATTAGATGTTGCGAGCTTTACCCGGAATTCCTTGGATTCCACGTAGAGTAAACTACAAACATTGTAGTTATTAGTGAATATGACAGCGCTGCTCTTGTGATGCGACACAATAGTTGTAAACGGATCTTATTAAGTTATTTGATTAGCTCAGTTCGCGTCGTGCGTCGCGTCGTCTTAATTGCGATCATACTTGTCCTGAGGTTGCAACATTGTGATTAAGTAATTTTCGTGTTTCACTTAGAAGTATTGAAAAATTAAATGTACTTTTGCGTTGGGGCAACGTTGCTCGCTCATAATGTACTTCGTGTGGGCAGGGACTGACTAAATGAACTAATCTCTTTGCATAGCGTACGCGTGTGTACATACTTTGCATGAGGTAAATATTGAAAACAATACCATGTCGTTTCAACATTTTCGTGTCACAAATTAGTGGTAAATTAGGTTGAAACTCCATGCTAATTTATGACTGATGCTGCATTTACAAAATGAAGTGATGAACCGAGGCAATATTGAGGAGATTGTGCCGTTCCATGATATATGTTTTACGCTGACTTATTTGCACACAGATAATTCGTCTTGTATATTTTTCACATTAACAATCTAAAATTGGTTACACATTGACCGGAGACGACTCGAACCTCGGATTTTTTTCAAGATGGTCTAAAGATTACAATCCAAGGTGCATAAACTCTCATCAGAGCGTTCCTCACTGCATAGTCATTCGGATTTTTTTCATGAACATACCCGACGTGTTCTGGAATATTTTAACATAACGTTAAAAATCCAATCATTTTCATTCCTCGATGAAATCTTCAGAAAATTGCGTGTCATATTTTAGAAAAAAATTAAAAAAATTGAAGAATATCTGAGGATTGACAAAAAATCTCCGTTTTTGAACGAGTCTTTCGGTACAATCAAGACGCGGTCGGATTTAGAGGGTGGCCACATGGCGGCAAATTTAGGGGGCGGCAAATGATGTAATTTTTTCAAATGTAGGTATCAAGAAAACAATCTGATTCAGAAAAAAATTACAAAGGAGAAAAGGCGTAAAAATCTCTCATTTCCTGAGAGTTAAAGTATAGTAATTTCTAGTTTGTTCGTCTGTCCGCGATACAAGAGACAGCGCCTTTCATTAGTCTAGTTGAGAGAGAAACCAAACACGCAATTTGGCCTGGAGCGGCGCGGCGCAAAGAGCAATGATGACGAGGGCTGAGATGGAAAGGAGAAGCCCTCGGCGCGCCGGTCAGCATGAAGCACATATTAGCGCCTACAAGATTCCATGAATACTTCACGCATTGCGTCAAACGTAGTGCGGCCAGCAGCGGTTGGCGTGAAACTCATAGCGCCTACAAGACTGCATAAATACTTCACGCATTGCGTCAAAATCTGTGCGGTCAGCAGCGGTCGGCGCGAAACGCATAGCGCCTACAAGACTGTATGGATACTTCACGCATTGCGCCAAATACAGTGCGGTTGGCGCGGTGGCGGAAATTAAAATCATTGGACCACATTCATGTTTATTCTTTCATAAATTTTTCGTTCTTTTCTTATAAATGAAAGGCCTCGTCCACACAGAGATAGGTTTATTGAACTTAATTTTCACGCAAACTTCCGTAAACTTTTGCTAGTGTTGACACGCCTTTCGCAAAAAAATGTGCTCAACACGAGTAAACGCGTCTTATGCACCCCTCATCCTCCAGCATGCTCACTTGATAAAAATTTGATGTTTTTTTCTGGTTCAGAGCTTAATCTAGTGGTCAATCATGTCATTACCACAGTATACTCAGAAAAGTAAAGAAATTATAGATATGGAAATAGATATCGATGGCTAAGGTGCGAAACTACTTACTTCCGTTTGCGACGTTTTCAGACTTCTTTAGGCGCCATTGCCGATTTTTTAGGCGCACTTGGCGCGTTGGTGCCTGTGAGTTTCGAACACTGCTTCTTAGTCGGTTTCCGTGAGAGGAAACGCTTCTTTGTGACCTGGTAAAAGTTTGCAACGAGCTCATCGGGTGGATAAACTCCTCATCTCGACTTTATTTTATGATCACCGTTTGCATAGTACGTTCGTAACTTAGTAAGCATCGATGCATTTTTCCAACGGAAGAATGAACAAATAAACGAGCGCTCGTCTTCCACCCGACCGACGACCGTTGCGCGTTGCCTCCTTCTTTCAGTCGAGCTCGAGAAACTTTCCTTCTCATACATTTCATATTTCCTGCGTATTCCGCTCGAACTGCACGTTTAGCTAAAATTAAAATTCACCAAATTCCCCGTTCATTTCCTTTTGATTAAACCTGCCACTCGTGAGTTGAGCGACCGCGGAAATGGGTATGATGAAGTGGGTCTCTACAGTCTCGTTTTGCCAAATTGTGCTTTAAATGGATCGAATTCAGCAGAGAGGAACCAACGTGCTTTTATCCGTCACTGGAAAAAAAACACATTGGATCTAGAGTCTAGACTCTTGAAAATATTGACAAAAAAAAAAAAAAACCCTTCATTCAATCGGATTTTGCTTGAATCCGCTTAAATTAAGAGGTTTGGTTCTTGATTTAAGCTAGATTCTGATTGAATCAAGAGTACTTTTTCTTGTCGATGTTTTTAATAGTCTGGACTCTAGATCCAATGTGTTTTTTTCACGTGATTTTGATCAAATCGAGTCGAAAGCCTCAGCGCTCTCTTTTTTTAGAAATCGCATAAAACAACCAAAGTTCTGCTTTCCATCGACTGAAACACGTTTTTGGGACTAATTTAAACCGGAATAATTGAATTGATAACACATAGCACTGTAATTACTGGTTCCTCTCTATTTCTTCATGAATTGAACAGAATCATGTCATTTAGACTAAGAGGGCAAATAATAGATTATCAAAGGTTCTTTCGTGGGTTGTCATTCTATCACTTACCTCCTTTGTGAATTGCAACCACCCACCTCCACCAATAGAGTCGCTCCGTTTCCCTTGTGTCTCATTTATCTATCGCTTTGTCTATAAACTTTAATCGTCAGCCCGCTAATCGCTTCATTGAGAGACCCGCCCCTACTACCGAACCCTAGATGTCTAGTACTGTTTAAAACATGTTTTCCTCCATGATCGCAGTTTTATCTTTAAAATGCAATTCTGCGGGCCGATTTTTGAAATTAATAGACAAAGATGACGAAAGGGATATGGAGGGAACCTATTGGTGGAAGCGGGTGGTTGCAATGGACAAAAGCAGTAGGTAATAGACTAACTAACGGCAACTCACGAGAGACCCGACAGCTAGTCCATCATTTTCTCCTGTAGTCTATAAGAGCCACACATTTCAACCAATAGGATCGCTCCATACCCCCTATGTCCTCTTTGTCTATAGCTTTGTCTATAAATTTCAATAATCAGTCTGCTGTGAACTTAACTGGAAATTTGTGATTTTCCGCCATGTCTGGCGCCCGGGATATGGGTGCGTTGCGGTTAAC